CCTGCCCACCCCATTTTCAACTGCCATGTAATATGACCACCCTTGATTTTTCTTGCTACTTTTAGGGACATAAAATAAAAGACTTGTATCTTATACAAAATACATTCTCCGTCTTGTTTTATTGACTTCGTGCCACACATTTCAGTGTTTCACACATTCCAGATTGTCCACGCGCTGTACAGGATTATTTTTCTTACACTGCAAAAATGTGATCTAAAAACAGTTAATCTTTGACTGAGTCACTCGGATAACTTAAAACTAAAACTGGAGCCGCAGACAAAGTCGACAGTAGGCAACCTCTTATTAAAGAGTTGTATATGAAGGTACAAGGGTTAACAGGCACCAGCTGGGATGTGTCTCCGGTTGCAATATGTCTCCGGTGGGAATGTGTCTCCGATTCAAATGTGTCTCTTTTTCTTCTTTTTGGCATTGATTATGGTTGCCCAAAGTCTCTCAAGGTAATGGGCCTCCTCTGGGTTCGAGTGATCGTTCACAAACGAAATGGCTTTCTCATAGAAACTAACTGGGAACCTTCTCAGGTTTTTCCTGGAAGCAGAGACACATCCTGTCATACAGGATCGCACTGTGGCGGGTGGTTTGGTACCAAACAAAGCCGTGTAGAACTCGCCCATAGTCAGGTTCGCTTTCCGCATCTGGCCGTTCTGAAGAGATTCCAGCCACTTGCCAAAGTGGCGGATGCGCCCCCAGTTGCCGTAGCTGCCTTGGATCTGGCAGTACTTGTGTTTCTTGGCTTGCTCGACGAACTTTATCGCAGTGGGAAAGCACGATTGACTATGCCCCCCAGGCCCCGTGCCTTGTAGGAAGACGGTTACATCGGCGAGTTTGTCGTAATTGTGTATGATATGGTACAGGTAGGTGTGGGCTTCTCGCCCCACGTTTGGTAACTTCTCCCACCTGTAGACATCAAAAGGCGGTCCCTTGTCTTTCCCCTTGTGATACACGTGACTGTGATCAGCAGTTGGCTTCATCCAATCCAGTTTCTCGTTATAGTGGGAGATGACGATTTCGTAGTCCAGCGGTTGGTTTGTGACGCCATCTTGACTGGAGTGGCTGGCTGCTGTTGAGTTAACTGGTGTAAGGACGAGACTGCCGTTCGACGCGTTTTTAGAAGCGTTGTGTGTCCTTGTAACATATTCCATTTGACGGTATATCGGAACTGGTCGAAAGAAATTGTCTGCAAGAAACACAGTAATTAAAGAACTAAATTAATTAAAAAACAAAGTAGCGTACGCTTTACCAAAAACGTCCACACAAGTCATAATGGACCTTCACGGATTTAGTCACTCGAGTGGTTGGTTGATATTGATTGGTTGATCGATTGAAATCATCTGCAAAAAAATATAATAATGAAATAAAGTAATCAAAAAACAAGTGCATGTGCTTTGCCAAAACGTCATAATCGACCCTCCCGGATGTGGTCATCAGCCGATCAAATAAGAGCGCCCTCTCCGCAGCATGCATATTCATAGATACCGGGCTTTAGATAATAAGTAATATGATCAAGGGATATGAATATAAATCCCCAACACAAGGCAGCAGAATCGTGGAATGGTTGGTACATGTAGCCGTGACTTGAGGTTTCAGAGAACAAAACTGCAAAACGAAAATTGTTTTTTTTCCCGAATTGACGCCAGGACGAATTGCTTCAGTCTTTACCTATAGACTAATACAACAACAATGACTGGCATTGTTGCGCTGTTAAGACACCTGACTATTCCGCACCTAATTAAAATATCCAAGATTTGGGGATAAGCAAATGATAGTACCACTGGACGCCATTGGGACAAGGTTGGTAATCACGCCTGTTTGACTCGACCAAAGCAAGCTACAGAATAATGTATATTTATGCGTAGGATAGATGCCGTTTCCCGTTTTAGAAATATCTAATGACCACATCTACACGGCGAGTCCAAAAAAGCAATTTCATAATCTACTTTTAGATGAAAAAAATTAATGAAACTGCTCAATCCGTTCAAAGAATATCACATTTAAACACAACGTGTTTGCATGACCCATGGCTAAGAGAAACTACTTCAGTCATTTTGGGATGAATTTTGCAACTTCCGCCTGAAGATTACTGGATAAATAGACATCTGCAGGTACAGAACTCATATTTTCCTTGTTAAACTTCTTCACCAGCTCAGTAGTCACTATAACTCCTGTAGTATCATGATTAAAGCAACATGGCGGAAACATTGACGCACGGCGCTGGCGTGGGACGAGTATCATTCTTGTTCTTTGATAATTTTCCATCGAATGAAAATTAACGGTGTCCACTGTTCTACCTGTGGAGATTCGCTTACCTCTAGTTGAAGCCGTTAGAGTGTCTTTGTGGGCATTAAAGACGTATCCGAAAAGAAAAATCATGAGAAAAGCGATGAGTAAAACGGCCAGATTTCTGCGTGGTCGTGTACAAACCGCCATGTGTATTGCTCGGGCTTGTTGATAGTGTACGTGTACTTCACTGCTAACACCTTTCCCTCCTTTCGACTTTCAGTTCAGTTTTTGTTCAGGGCACAATTGGCACCACTGCACATGAACTATTATAGTTGACACAATGAAATTGTTGGCCCCCAAAAAGCGCAAGCGCTACTATTATGGGTGCACACTGGTAAATAGGCCTAAAGTATGTTGGCTTTAAAGAGGTCATGTCGCAAGCAATTATCAGTAGCCTAATAAAAAAGTTATTAAAAAGGAAAATATCTCGAATGGACGCAACAAAATAGAAGAAACACAAAACTGTGAATGCGAACTAACAACGAACAACACTATTTATTCATTCATTCATGTAAGACAGCAATTGTTTCAAAAACAATCAGTTTTGTCTCAAAATCCCATAATTATTGTCTTCCAGGGTACAATAATCTTAGTAACGGCTTGTTATCCTTAGGCATTCTGCTTTCATTCGCCGCTTAAAGGGCTCCGTTTTCGAGAATACAAAACCTGTATCTCGAAATGCAGTATTTTGGGTATCCAATAAAACGTCGTTTTTGAAAGAAAGTGTACCGCACACGTTGAAATAATTTATATTTTTATTTATTATCCTTATCATCACTCACCAGCTAGGGCACACGTTATTTCAGTATAGGCTCATTCCAATGAGGTTTTTCTGCTCTAATTAGCCACTTAGAGAGGCTCCGTTTTCGAGAATATCTCGAAATGCAGTGTTTTGGGTTTCCTTAAAAATGCCGTCTTTGAAAGAAAATCTACAAATAAAACATATTTTTATGTCATCATCCTAAGTATCACCTTCCTGGGCACTCTTCATTTTCATTGTGGGCTTATTCCCATGAGGTTTTATGCTCAAATTAGCCACTTTCGAGAATATCTCGAAATGCAGTATTTCGGGTCTCCCATTGAACGCAGTTTTTAAAGAAAGTGTACCGCATATGTTTTGAATAAATAATATTTTTATTTAATAATCCTATTTTCACCTTCTAGGGTGCACTTCATTTCAGTATTGGTTTATTCCAATAATGTATTCTGCTTTAAGTAGCCGCTTAAATGGACTCCGTCGAAATGCAGTAATAATGCTTTCCTATAAAACGTCGTTTATGAAAGAAAGTGTACCGCACGTTTTAAAAAAAATCCTAATTTTCATCCCCTAGGAGGCACTTCATTTCAGTATGGGCTGATTAAAATGAGGTTTTCAGCTCTAATTAGCCACTTAAAGGGGACCGTTTTCGAGATTTTCTCGAAATGCAGTAGACCTTTTGTGGAATTCCTATAAAACGCCGGTTTAGAAGGAAAGTATATCGCACGTTTTAAATGAATCCCAGTCTGTATAAGCGTGTCCGTCGCGCAGTCCTAGCCTAGTACATTTTGTGCTCCGTTCATTTTAGGATTACAACTCTACATACACAAACTTACATAAAGGTGAAGTAGTAACTTCTTTTTAGACATCATTATAATGTTGCAGCGCCGTTAGTTTGTTTTGAAAGGTGACGGAAAGCGCGCGAAACAGAAGATCCCTGGTTCCCTCATACGCCATTCAATTATTAAGACGGGTGTGTGCGTAACCAATGAATAACTGGTTATTCGTCACTTCGTCAGATACTGGATGCGCGCTGTTCTGATATGACCAAGCGTCGAATAATTTATTCGTCAGTTCGCAAGACATTTTTTTTCCAATATGTGCCGATTCGTCACTTAGTGGGTTTCGGAACAACAAAAATGAAGTGTTTTCATGAATTAAAAACCTAAAAATCTGAAAATTCGAATATTTTTAACCCTAAAACTCAATTAATAAAAAAACTCCAAAATGACCGATTCGTCACTTCGTCAGATATGCGACGAAATATACATTATTCTGTAGCTTGCTTTGGTCGAGTCAAACAGGCGTGATTACCAACCTTGTCCCAATGGCGTCCAGTGGTACTATCATTTGCTTATCCCCAAATCTTGGATATTTTAATTAGGTGCGGAATAGTCAGGTGTCTTAACAGCACAACAATGCCAGTCATTGTTGTTGTATTAGTCTATAGGTAAAGACTGAAGCAATTCGTCCTGGCGTCAATTCGGAAAAAAAAACAATTTTCCTTTTGCAGTTTTGTTCTCCGAAACCTCAAGTCACGGCTACATGTACCAACCATTCCACGATTCTGCTGCCTTGTGTTGGGGATTTATATTCATATCCCTTGATCATATTACTTATTATCTAAAGCCCGGTATCTATGAATATGCATGCTGCGGAGAGGGCGCTCTTATTTGATCGGCTGATGACCACATCCGGGAGGGTCGATTATGACGTTTTGGCAAAGCACATGCACTTGTTTTTTGATTACTTTATTTCATTATTATATTTTTTTGCAGATGATTTCAATCGATCAACCAATCAATATCAACCAACCACTCGAGTGACTAAATCCGTGAGGGTCCATTATGACTTGTGTGGACGTTTTTGGTAAAGCGTACGCTACTTTGTTTCTTAATTAATTTAGTTCTTTAATTACTGTGTTTCTTGCAGACAATTTCTTTCGACCAGTTCCGATATACCGTCAAATGGAATATGTTACAAGGACACACAACGCTTCTAAAAACGCGTCGAACGGCAGTCTCGTCCTTACACCAGTTAACTCAACAGCAGCCAGCCACTCCAGTCAAGATGGCGTCACAAACCAACCGCTGGACTACGAAATCGTCATCTCCCACTATAACGAGAAACTGGATTGGATGAAGCCAACTGCTGATCACAGTCACGTGTATCACAAGGGGAAAGACAAGGGACCGCCTTTTGATGTCTACAGGTGGGAGAAGTTACCAAACGTGGGGCGAGAAGCCCACACCTACCTGTACCATATCATACACAATTACGACAAACTCGCCGATGTAACCGTCTTCCTACAAGGCACGGGGCCTGGGGGGCATAGTCAATCGTGCTTTCCCACTGCGATAAAGTTCGTCGAGCAAGCCAAGAAACACAAGTACTGCCAGATCCAAGGCAGCTACGGCAACTGGGGGCGCATCCGCCACTTTGGCAAGTGGCTGGAATCTCTTCAGAACGGCCAGATGCGGAGAGCGAACCTGACTATGGGCGAGTTCTACACGGCTTTGTTTGGTACCAAACCACCCGCCACAGTGCGATCCTGTATGACAGGATGTGTCTCTGCTTCCAGGAAAAACCTGAGAAGGTTCCCAGTTAGTTTCTATGAGAAAGCCATTTCGTTTGTGAACGATCACTCGAACCCAGAGGAGGCCCATTACCTTGAGAGACTTTGGGCAACCATAATCAATGCCAAAAAGAAGAAAAAGAGACACATTTGAATCGGAGACACATTCCCACCGGAGACATATTGCAACCGGAGACACATCCCAGCTGGTGCCTGTTAACCCTTGTACCTTCATATACAACTCTTAAGAGGTTGCCTACTGTCGACTTTGTCTGCGGCTCCAGTTTTAGTTTTAAGTAATCCGAGTGACTCAGTCAAAGATTAACTGTTTTTAGATCACATTTTTGCAGTGTAAGAAAAATAATCCTGTACAGCGCGTGGACAATCTGGAATGTGTGAAACACTGAAATGTGTGGCACGAAGTCAATAAAACAAGACGGAGAATGTATTTTGTATAAGATACAAGTCTTTTATTTTATGTCCCTAAAAGTAGCAAGAAAAATCAAGGGTGGTCATATTACATGGCAGTTGAAAATGGGGTGGGCAGGTATATAGGGACATTTTGTTTTGCGTACGATCATTATGGAGGTGTCTGTGTGTAGTCAAGGGTAAACGGTATAGTTATTGGTGATGTTCGTGTTTTTTCCTCATCCCCCCCCCCGGCCCTAGAACAAAATATGGTAGGGGCTGTCAAAATATAGGTACATGTATAGGGTAAACTATCATTTGTTTTGGCCTTAAAGATGATGAAGTTCTCATTGCAATCACAAAAGATATTAGCGCCCTGGTCTGTCAGATATCACATTAGTATATCCATCTTGTGGTTCTCAGACCGACATTTCCGGCCCGAATTATTGGATACAAATTGAGATTTTATCATCTGAGCGTATATAGTAGTGAATTTATGCTATAAGTTCCAAAGGAGGAATAGCGAGAACCCGGAAATGATGGCTGGAAACAACACTTTATTCATAATTATATTCCTCTTCAGCGGGTACTTTCACAAAATCCCGCTAGATCACTTCTAAAAATCAGACTAATCAGGTGCATGGCCATGTCACAATATGCCATGCTTACACACTCAGTTACTAAAGTATTCCATCCAATGACTCATTTCCACGTGCACGCCCCTACTACGTAGGACATTTAGCCACGCTTATTTTGTCTGCCTGGTTCCCAGACCTGAAGATTCTGAATTCGACATGTAGCGGGCACCCGACTAACGGTCTATTATAGATACGCCAGAGGGTTGCAGACCAGTAAATCGGTCCGAAATTGCCTACGCCGGCCAAATCACGATTTGCATGGAGCAAACACTCAATTAACTCCCGTTGGGGGCGCCCTACAGCAAGGTAGTCGCAAACAGAGGGCTTGTTTTCAGGCCAGAAATCGCAGTCAGAGATGTTTTTTCTCGCATTTGTTTTGATGAAACATGAGTCATCCATCCTTCCTCGTGCCGTACAAGTGATTTGGGGGAATTTTTTAAAACCTCGCTTCTTTATAGGTTGCAGACCAGTAATTGCCTACGCCGGCCAAATCACGATTTACATGCCCTCAAAATCTTCAGTATTTGAGCAGGCTGTGGGCAATGAACTTGAGGGTTTGCAAAAAATATGAGTGGAAGCCGTGCACAGGACTGTGAGCTTGTAGTTCCGTAAAATTTGGATGACATTGGGGCTCTAAAAGCGCTCTATTTTGCAATGGAGGGTAGGCATCGTTTTTCAAAATGGCGATGGGCTTCAGGACTATTTTCATGGGTGATCATCTTCGGATGGAAATTTCTCCTAAAAGTCATCAGTTGACCCCCCAAAAATTGAAAAGAAAATGAAAGATGATGGCATAAGATTTAATTTGATGTGTGTCTCGAACACCTTGGAGAGTTGTGAGTATTTTTCCCGAATTTCTGAAGTGGGAGCATTTACCATTAGGGTCTATGGAAGTTTATTTACTGGTCTGTAACCTTACGAACGGCCAGATGCGGAGAGCGAACCTGGCTATGGGCGAGTTCTACACGGCTTTGTTTGGCACCAAACCTCCCGACTTAGTGCCAGTATGTTTAACAGGATGTATCTCTGCTTCGAGGGAAAACTTGAGACGGTTCCCAGTTAGTTTCTATGAGAAAGCCATATCTTTTGTGAACGATCACTCGAACCCAGAGGAGGCCCATTACTTTGAGAGACTTTGGGCAACCATAATCAATGCCAAGAAATAGTGATTTGAATCGGTGACACTTCCCAACTCTTGGGGAGATTCCTAATTAATTTTGTGCCATGTTGTAATAAATGTATACCACTCTTAGGAGGTTTGCCAAACCTCGACTTTGGCTGCGGCTCCGGCGTCAGGTTCTGGCTTCATGAGTTTAAACTTGGAATTCAATTTACTTGGTCTCAGTGAAGGTCAGCACGTTTTCTTGGATTTCTATTGGGTTTAATCATTATAGGTATCTGGTAACTCGAAAACCAGAGATGAAGCCAATTTCCAGATGAAGCCGTAGCTTGGCAAATACTATAGCCCACATGGCGGCCATTTTGCAAATCCAAGATTACCGCCATGAAGGTGTGTACACAAATGCCAACATTGAGTATTCTCCATGCTTGGAAGATTCCAAAAATGTATAGTTTGGCTAATCTTCAAAATTTTGAACAAAATAAGTAGTGAAGCTGACGAACAGGAATGGAGAACGAAGCTGCACGCTTAAAACTGCATCTAGAGATATTTCACTATAAGCAAGTTGGGGCGAGGACCGTCAGTGGTTGATTTGAGACGTAATGTACGCCTGCGCACTAAATAACAACATGCGAACGGCTCTAATCCAGCGAATGTCAACAGTCCTGGCTCCCCGGTGTGCTTTGGGGTGCGCCCAGCTATTGGTAACCAGCGATGTAACCGCGCCACGTGGTCCTCTTCATGTGCAATGACTGGAGTACATATAATTCAACTATCCTGCGTTCGAGCAAATTTAGTAAAACTATGGTTGCCTGTGTAGTTAGCGTCCGAATTTGCCCTTTGTTGGAAAATCACGAACCGTCAATATTAATACAGAAAAAAAAAGAATATTGTATATTTTAATCAATGAGCCGATTTCGGAAATTATGTTATGCTGGTGTCGAGAGCACCGGTAAGAATTATACCGTTTAATTCCAAAGAGGAACAGGAATATAATTGTACTGAAATATTTAAGATTGTCTTTATAGAATTGTAAATACCTCTTATTTAATGACAAATTAGAAATGAAAACTTATGACATCCAAACGTAGTGGCACTCCCTATGCAACTTTAAACTGTTCACCTGTAACAGCGAATATCTCATACATCTACTTCAAAATTTATTTAAAACACGAAAGTGTTGTATATAGCAGGCACGATCATTCTATAGGGCGTGCAGTCCATAGATATAGAATACCCCCCCCCCCAAAAAAAAACCCAAAAAACAACAACACTAGATCGGCAGCGCATGCATACGCGCGGCCTTGCATGGAGGGTCGATCACGTGTTGGACATATCACAACGATTCTTAGCACACACTTGGATCATTATAAGGGAAATAAACCCTGAAAGTTGCGTGAAGATACGGCCTTCCAAACGAGAGAAATGAATTTTCAAAGATTTTGACCGCCAACGTGAAAATGTCTGAGCGCATGTAGTTTCATTCAAAATAAAGTGTTACGTAATCGCCGTCCCCAACCACACGGCTGCACAGAGAAGAGCGCACATCCGAACAAAGCATGACGGCATAGTGTCTGAAGTCTATTGGGAAGACTTTCACTGATAGTAAATACATGCATCAAAAGCTGCCTTCAGTGAAGCGTGGAGGGATGAATAGTGGTTTCCTCCATGGGAGAACGCGCACAGTGCGAGAGCACGTACAAATGGCTTGCACCAAGACTTGGCAGTCTCGCTTCCCCGTTACTCTTGCATTTTATTTTGAGACTTTTTCGTAACCGGCTGTAAAGGAACTCGATCGGTGCTCTGACAGGTGCCAATGTCTTCATGATCATGATGGTTAAACGGACGATATCTCGGATACTGATTCTCTTGTGGATAGTGTGGTTATCGCCGTCTCTGCTCTATGTTGTATTCCACGTATACGGTAAGGTGACATGTATGCTTGGATAGATCGTTTGCCGCATTATTGTAGTGGTCGGCCCTGCCGTATTAAATCAGACGAGGAGATCTGTACACAAATAATTAGGAGGATGGGAGGCTCATTTATTAGCAACAACAATTATTGGACCTCACGGATTGTCTCCTTGATCTGCTCTTGTTTTGTTGATGATTTATTAAAGTGATGCTTATGATCAAATACATGTAACAAAAACCTAGGCCTACATTATAATAGGGAGGGGGCCCGGACTACTTTGAGCTACAGTGTGTAGGCCTGGAGTATGCAGTAACACGTTCATGATCTATTAATATAACGCAGACTATCAGTACGAATTATAACCAGATGAAATACAGTTTTCTCAAAATATCTCACAAACATTAGATAACTAAATAATTCCAAATGTATCCAACACAGCAAAGGGATGCATACCTATATTTCCCGGTCCCTATGTTCCCCGGTCCCTATGTTCAGCAGTCCCTATGTTCCCCAGTCCCTATGTTCCCCAGTCCATATGCTCAAAGTCCATATGTTCCCCAGTCCATATGTTCCCCAGTCCATATGTTCCCCAGTCCATATGTTCCCCGCGGAGTATGTTCCACAGTTCCTATGTTCCCCAGCTCCTATGTTCCCCAGTCCCTATACGTTCCCCAGTCCATACATGTTTGTACACCAGGCCCTGTGTTCCCCAGTCCATATGTTTCCCTGTCCCTATATGTTCCCCAGTCCATATGTACACCCCAGTCCATATGTTTCCCTGTCCCTATATGTTCCCTAGTCCATATGTACCCCAGGCCCTGTGTTCCCCAGTCCATATGTTCCCCAGCCCCTACGTTCCCCAGTGCATATGTTCCCCATGCCCTATGTAATTCCCAAGTCACATGTTCCCCAGTCCATATGTTCCCCGGTTCCTACGTTCCCCAGTCCTATATGTTCCCCACGGTGACCCCATTCATACATAGAGTAATTACCCTAACCCTAACCGTAACCCTAACCCTAGGGGAACACTGGGGAACATAGGGACTCGGAAACATGGGGACTGGGGAACACCTCTTTCTAAAGAATGTAATTCGGTAATTTAAGAGTCATTAATTTCGTGTAAATATTTCATATAGCCTATGTGTCCACGCTAAAAAAAAAAAAACGATTTTTCGAAAGG